TATTGGAGTATATATTCATATTATTGTATTTCATATTGTACTTATATGTTTCCTATTCTAGATTAGGGCTTTTGTCATATTGTGTATAAATACTCTTATAACTCAATGGAATAAATCAAGTCGTTCTCTACTTTCACATTCTTCTTCTTGTCTCTTGTTGGGTGAGAGCTAGACCAAAAAAAGGTAGCAAATAAGCTACAAGGTACGAGATCAAGTAACTTTGTTTATAAAAAAAAAGGAGAAAAATACCTTGTCTGTACACATGGTCTCACGTAATTTAGCTGGAAGTGGAAACTATAACATGGAAAGCAACAAGGTTAAAGATTGAATCTTTAATCAGTACATACAAATAAAGCCAAACCTATTAAGAGATTGTGTTGAAGGAGTTAAACCCTAAAATCTTGCTCTGACGCAGCCGCTTTGTTTCAGATTCTTTCTTCCTCTCTTCAACTCCAATTTTGTAAGAAAAACAAATCCAAACTTTAACGTCAAATTTACAACCAAAAGAGCAAAAACCTCAGAAATCGAGATTAGGGTTTCGCAGTTGTGCGGTTGAAAGAGACGTAGTTCGTAAGGCAAAGGTTAGAATTGAAAAAAAGGGAAAAGGTAAAAAGAAAGAAATAGTAATATTTAGTTACAACTTACATAATCACAAGCTAACCGTTGGTTCATGTGCTAGTCATTCCATTGTCAAAGGTCGCATAATAGCAGATAAACCGAATTCGAGTTAACCGGCAGGCTGTACCATGACATTTCGGTTCACCCAAGAGTTATTTCTAATTTACATCATCCGTCGAGTTTGTTTCACTTGCCGTGCAAGTAACAATTATGAGTCTCCTGATTTGTTAATGTTCAAATCTCTTAATCGTAATAATTTTACATACTTTAAATTCGACCATGGCTTTTTCCCATATCAATCAAAAGCTCAAAACCTTAATTCTTCTCCAAAATAGATAGGAAACGATTGTGTTCTTCATAAACATACAAACTTAGTGAAAGCTCTTACAATATCCAAAACAATCTCGAACCCATAATCTATCTTCTTCGATTCTTCAATAACATAGAAGAGTCGGTTTTACTTGAGCCTCTCCTTTCTAAGTCTTTCTAGCTCCAACACCATTTGCCAGTGCTCTAGTGAAAGCGTAGTCTCACCATAACTCACAGACATCATTCGAGCCATTGT